ATCTGTGAGTCTAGCATCTGATGGAAAAATAGCCATGGGTTTAGCTCATAAAGAAACAAGGTCACAGGAATCATCATGGCAGCCTCAATCTACACACAGGCCCTGGCAAGGGCTCTGTTCCTAAAACCTAAAGCCTGTTCACATCTTTACCTCCAACCTCTTCCTTCTGAACTTTTCTATTTATTTATTTATTTATTACACACACACACACACACACACACACACACCATGTGAGCTGCTTCTTAAATTTACAACTTTAAGAATGCAAACAGAGTTTTCTTAGATCTCATCATGGATCTAATTTTCTCCACCATAAAATGAAAATGATAAACCAGATCATGGTTGATACCTTGAACAAGAGTTTTCAGAGTTGAAGATCCCAAGATGAGGCATGTTCCCCAAGAGTCCCAGCTAAACAAATAATATGGTAAGAAAAGAGAAGCCTGTTCAGATGAATCAGGGATGACCTGAGGAAGATCAGATTCCAATTAGTTCCCTAACCCAAATCCAGAAAAACATAACACCAATTTCAACTCTTTCTACCAATAATATATACCCCAGACAAGCTCCCCAACCAGTACCTAGAGCCACCTTGGCTTTATGCCTGTATCTTAGGGAAGTTTAGACCCCAGATCTTATTAATCCAAAACTAATGTTCTTTCTATCTCACTTGGCTGACTTAAAAGTAAGTAAGCTTTTTGTTTGCTTGTTTGTCTGTTTTAGCAATATGGGGACTGAACGCAGAGCCTTGTACATGCTAGGCAAGGCTCTACTGCTGAACTACATCCCCAGCCCTTTTTTTAATATATAACTTTATTTTATTTATTTAGTTAGTTATTTTATTTTTTTAGTTGTAGATGGACTAGCAGAGGAGTTCTATTCCATGTGGTAATTCATACGATGCCTTTATTTTATTTTTATAAAGGATTGAACCCACTGCCTTTCACATGCAAGGCAAGCACTCTACCACTGAGCAGCAACCCCCAAACCCCCAGCTATTTGTATTTCAGCTGAGAAAGCATCTCACAAAGTTGCTATGTTGGTCAGCTTTTTATCACTGTGATAAATACTGAGAAAATCAACTTACAGGAGAAAAGATTTCTTTTGTCTGACAGTTGTAGATGTTTCAGTCCATGGTTGGCTGGTTTCATTGCTTTGGGCATGAGATGAGGCAACACGTCGTGGTGGAAGGGCATGTTGGAGGAAAGTTCACCTTGTGGCAGCCAGGAAGTGAGGTGTAAGGAGAGAAAGGGGCCAGGAACAAAATATACTCTTCCAGGGAACATCTCTATTTACCTGCTTTCTCCAATTAGGCCTGACCTACTCAAGTTTCTATGACCTACTAATAATACCATAAGCTATGAACCTATCAATGCATTAATCCACTGATTAAGTCAGAGCCATCATGATCAAATCACTTCCCAAGAGCCCCACCTCTGAACACTCTGGCATCGGAGACTAAGACTTCAACATATGAGCCTTTAGGGGAACACTCCAGATCCAAACTATAATAGTTATTCAGGCTGGCCTCAAATTTGGAATCCTCCTGCCTCAGCCTTCTGAGTAGCTGGAATTATAGGCATGTGCCACTGCATCCAGCAACAGGTTAGTCTTTTTTAAAAATTTCAAATGCTTTTACACATATTACTTCCCAATGACTTTATATACTTATCTATATAGATGTAGATGTGTTATTAAAGACTGAAGCATATTTACTCAAAATATAATTATACAGGGGAAAAAAACAAGATTTGTCTGTTTTCTCATATTACATAACTAGCAGAGGAATTCTATTCCATGTGGTCATTCAGCCCAACAGTGAGAAAGGAGAATCAGACTTGAAGAAAGCACACCCTATGTCTCATATCCCAGTTCGGGCAGTGACAGACTTCACTTCTGTCTTCACTTGCATTCATCCATGGCCTCACTTATCTGAAAGGCAGGGTGGAAAATGGAGTCTAGGTAGACAGGTAATATGCCCACCTTTGATTATTTTACTATGAACTAGATATAGATAAATAGATTGATTTAGGTTCCAGTTCAGGTTTAGATTTAGATATGTTATGTTCTATTATTTTTCTTAACATTGAAGAGGTGGAGCTTTATAGTTATCAAGATTACACAATTTTCCCAGTTTTGCACCTAGTAAGTGGTAAATTGGGGGACTCAAATTTAGCCCTTCTGATATTCGGTGGGATTAGACTTATAAGAGCTTTGAATGCCTGCAATAACATGGAAGGATTCTGAGAAACAAATGATACAATCCAATCCAGTGATATTTTTTTAAAAGTTTCTGCTTGCATCAAGTAGATCCTCCAGATCATTAGTGGGAAAACAAGGCAAAGTTACAAGGCAAAGGACATAGATACCAGAAAATTTGGACTCATTTTTGTAATCCTCCACAGTATCTATATGCAAAAGCTTCCAAATTTATATTCTCAGGCCCTGAACTCTTTTTTGAGTTCTATGTCCAGTGGTTTAATAGACAATCTACTTGGATACCTCCAGGCATTTCCTCTGTCAGGCATATTTTAAATTGAATTTTGACTTTCCCCTTTCAGAACGAGCTCCTCTTCCAGTGTTCTCCTCAGCACTATATGAGGATGCCATCCACCCAGGTGCTCAAGCCAGAAACCTGAAACTAGGGGTCCTTGACACTTTTCTCTCCTTCACCTCAGATATAGTCCATCAAGTCCCATCAACACTACCTCCAAAATTAGCTCATAAGTTTTCTATCTCCATTGCAATTTCTCTAGTCCATATTGTTTTCATCTCTCTTCTGAACATCTAAAAACATCCCATTGGACTCATAAAATCTCATACCCTTAACACGTCCTGCACAGTTGTCTCTCTACCTCCACGTGCAGCCTCCTCCTATGCCACTTTTTTCTCATCTACTAAGTTCCAATCTAACTGGCTTTTGTTCCTTTAGTCACATATGAATACTTTCTTACCTCAAGATTTTGGTCATGCTGTTCCCAACAGTACATACTGAGTGATAAGCATATGGACTCCAAAGCTGCTCTTATAGCTGTGTGAACCTAGGCAATCTACATAACCTCTTTGTGCCCAATTTCTGTATCTGAAAAATGAGGATAGAAATAGCACCTATGTCACAGATATTCTTAGAACTGAGTTAATGAGTACCACAGTATAGTTTCCAGAACACAGTAAGCACTATATGTGTTTATTAGATAAAGTAAGTTTTTGACTGGATACTTCCTACTCAGACAGGTATTTCTTTATTTCTCCTTACTTCAAACACAATTTGTAATTATTCCTTATTCTTGTTTTCTAATATTTGTTTTTTACAAGTAGACTCTGAATTCCATGAAGGCAGACTATGTCTGCTTTGCTGACTACCGTATCCCTACATCTACAAATGCTTCACACGTGATGGATGTTAAATATTTGTTGAATGAATAATTACAAAGAGTTCAAGCTGGCAATTAAATTATTGTGGGTTTGTTTGAATTTAAATTCTCTCCTTTTCTAGTAACCCTGGGGAAAGAATCAGTTCTAAATTCATATCATCCAGATGAGGTTTGGTCTCTATGTTTCTATAGTTTCATACAAGAATGGGGATGGCTTATGTTTTTTTGTGGAAGTCTTCCTGTAAAAGGGAGATAGGGAACAGAAACTTGGAGCCTATACCAGGATGGCACATGAGTAGTGAACCAGCAACAATTACAGCGGATGGGGTCCACCAAATGTAATCAAATTAAAAAGCAGATATTAGAATGAGGCACGAATTTTTATCTATTAGTAGCAATTTGTCCTTTATAATAACCATAGAAAAGAAAAGAAAACAGACATAATTTATGCCAAAGAAATTTTTGGTGGCTCTTCTTACTTCATGGTCTGAATAAGTAGAAGTCTAACTCTACCAACAGTGAGACCCAGGTTATTCCACTTCTATCCACAGAAAAAGAAACCTCATCTTTCAGGTAACAGAAGAAAGGGAAACTCACCATATCTTATTATTTGTTCTTCAGACTGGAGTTCCCCAGAGCTGGACCCCTTACCACCTGGATCCTTATATATTATTATATACTACATATATCTATTGCCAATACAAGTTGACTCATTTTTTGTCTATGTGATTGGAGTTTTAAATACATTAACTTGTTTAAATCTCCCTAACCCGCTTTTATGTGGGTAGAATTAATTATCCAAAGTGACATTGAGTACGTGGTGAAGCCAGATTAAGATCTGATTGTAAGGTCAGTACTCCACTAAAAGGGCCTGCGTTGCTGTCTAGGCCAGATATTTCTTAAAGCATAACCCCCACATCTCTGCATCAGAATTAATGGTAGTATTTGTTAAACATTCAAATTCACTGTCTTTATCCAAGACTCAAGAAATTAACAAGGGGATCGGTAATTTGTACTCTTTTTTTTGGGGGGGGCGGGGGGACCCCGCCGGTCGGGTACTCGACCACTGAGCCACAAGCCCTATTTTGTATATTATTCAATGAGAAGGTCTCGCTGAATTGCTCAGCGCCTCGCTTTTGCTGAGGCTGGCTTTGAACTCAAGATCCTTCTGCCTCCGAGCCGCTGGCATTACAGGCGTGCTCCACCGCCTGTAAAGTAGCTATGGACGCAGAGGATTCTTATTTAGACTAAATAATGATGACCCATGCCTAGGCTGCTGGCGTGGCTGAAAGCCAATAGTAACTCTGTCTTGACAGACGTCAGTCCCCCTCAGCAACCTCTAACCAAACCAAACCTGTATCCCGAGCTACCGTTTCTGCAGAACACAAGTGAGCACGCGCAATTCTCAGCCCCAGGCCCAAGCGGGGCTCCCTAGGACCCCGCCCTTAGGAACCAGCCCATACCAAGGGGCGGAGCTCTCTTAAATCGCCTAATTCCGGCTTGTCCCGCGGCTGCCCAAAGCCCCGCCCCTTACCCGTGGACCAATCAAACGGCAGATTGCTGACGCTGGGGGCCAATGCACAGGGCTGTCTTTAATTCCTCCTTGCAGTTTGAAACTGTCAGGTTAGTACTAAGATAGCAGCAGGGCTTGCTGTGGTTTCAGCGGCGACGCAGCAAGGAAACAAGAGTGAGGAATCGGTATTTGGTGGAGCGCCCAGAGGGTGGATAGTGGCGCCCCGAGGGCCCTGCATCGAGGGCCCTGCATCACTGGCCGAGGTATGGTGGGAGATTTAAAGTTCCTCCACCCGGGAGACTCTGGGGGCATCTTCTCCGAGAGCGAACGATTGAGCGTTTTGTGCTCAGGGTCGAGATTTTTTTTCCCCTCCGAGGCTTTCGAGAAGAGAGGATTGGAGGGAAGGGTGGTAAAGTGTACTAGTTACTGTCGTCGTAGGTTCTGGTCATTTAAACAGTAGGGGCGGGGGATAACCAGATATAACGCTTTATTGTTTTAACGTAAGATTTAGACTAAAACAGGGCTGGATTGGAAGATGATGGAAGAAAGCTTATATCCCTTTGCTTACTTGCGACTGTTTTTTTTTTCCCTCCACTTCTAGTCCCTGCCCTGAAGAGGGGCTAGCGCACTCCCCCTCCTTGCAGCAGCTAGGATCGGTGAAGGGCACTGGGATCGTCACCTGCTGCCAGTTTGCACGTTTCTTCCTCTGCCGCTTTGAGGTTGCGTTTGAATTCCCGAATTCCTCTTTCCCTGTCAGCCGGGTAATTGCCAGGACGTTATATCCATGGCATTGAGAACCATGCAAAACTTTTTATCTTGTGGTTCCTGATACCTTATGTTAGGGAACACTGAAAACGTATTGGAATAGTGTATATCTGCCACCCATGAAAGCAATCTTAATTTTTCTGCTTTGTTTCTGAACCTAGAAACAGTATGGAAAATGTTACTGGTTGTCGGGGTTCAGATTAATTGACACACCTTGTTAGCATAAAGCAGGGTAGCTGGCAAACAGCAAATTTCCAAAAGTATAATCTTTTTTTTTTTTGTCTGCAGTATCTATATTTAAGAAACAGTTTTTGAGATTTGCCCATACTTACCAGCTCATTCGTTTTTTAAATGATTGGCATCAATCACATCACTCCCCCTTCCTGTTACTTACAGGATCTGCAAACAAATCCTAAAGGAAAATGTGAATGAAAATATAAATGAACCAACTTACCACAGTGGAAGAGTTAGTCAGTGAAGCAGCCATTCCTTGCTGCAGATATGTGCTCATTTGATCTCTCTAATTGGCTTAACTAAAGACAGTCATGGGGAGTTTTAGTTTACTTATCATTCAGAGTAATGCTGAATAAAATTGAAATTCCTTTCAGCAATCTAGTTGTAGCCTATGTTTCCATTCTGATATTGCACTTTTTTCTGAATCTGTCCTTTCTAGTTCAATGTCCTTGTCTCATGTGTTTTTCAGCCCACTGTGATAGAGACCTGTTCAAATTTCCAACGAAATTATTTAAGCAAATGTCCCAGCAACTTTTTGATTGCCCAAATCAGGGCAGTGGTCATTTTTCTTTGGCATGTGACTGACTCATCCCTTCTGGAAGTCTTTGTGACACTGCTCTCATAGTTCTGCTATTCTGACTTCCTTTTCAGTCTTCTTTCCTGACTCTTCCACTTTAAATATTAGCAGCTATGGCTTTAACCCTCTTCTCATTCACAATAGTGCTCCTTAACTTTAGGGTTATGATCCCTCTGAACACATACATACTGGAAGCTAAAGGTCCTTTTTCTAGAGAAATACACAAGTGCATTTATGCTGAAGATGCAATTCAAATGTTTGATCCTCAGGATAAGAATTTTCTTGCACTACTTGTAATAGGTCATCTCACCCATTCCCATTTTTTTGGCAGATCCCGTTATGCTAATGATTCCTCAGACTGGATCGCCAACCTATACTTCCAGTAGAGGACTCCCACATTGCTTCACTTTACGTTCTTATTGCCTTGTATTCACATTTTAGTCATCATAAATGGCAGTCCTTGGAGTCATGTACTTCATAGCCAGTATAGCCATATACAATTGTCCCTCAATATTAGTATGATAGATTGATTCCAAGAACCACCCCCATACATAGAGACAACTAAATCTGTAGATGCCCTATTCTCTTTTATAAATGGTAAAATGTACCATTGTATTTGCATATAACTTATGCATATCCTCCTGTATACTTTAAATTATCTCCAGACTACTTATAGTGCCTAATACAATGTAAGTGCTAGGTAAATAGTTGCCATGTTATATTTTTTAGGGAATGATGACAAGAAAAAAAATTTGTACACAGGGTGCAGTGGCACACATTTGTAATCCCAGTGACTTGGGAGGCTGAGGCAGGATAATAGCAAATTCAAAGCCAGCCTCAGTAACTTAGTGAGACCCTAAACAACTTAGCAAGACCCTGTCTCAAAATAAAAAAGGGTTGAGGACGTGGCTCTGGTTGATCACCCCTGGATTTAATCCCTGGTACGAAAAAAAAAAAAAAAAAAAAGTCTGTACTTAACATTTAGTATATTGCAATTTTTAAAAAATATATTTTGGGCCCATGGTTAGTTTGATTCACATATGTGGAACCCCCAGATGAAGAGAGGGCTGACTGTACTATGCACTTGCAGTTTTATCCCAGTATTTCAGAGGCAATCTGAAAGAGAGGAATTATTGATGGCTTCCAGGTTCTGGCTTGGGTACCTAAATGGAATTATAGTGCTACTACTAAGGTAAGAAATATAAGAAGACGAGCAGGTTGGGAGGAGGAACAATGAGTTTAATATCAGATATGCTAGGCAAGGAAAAATATTCAATCCCAACATAAGTGAGTTTATAGTACAGTCAAATACATGAAAGGTCAAAGAAAAATGCTTCAGAGATATCCCCAGTGGGGCCTGTTTAATAACTTCTCTAGAATAAAAATCCATCTTTTTAATATGACAAATCGTTTTCTTCCATGATCTGACTGCTCCTTACCTTTTCATTTCATCCTTAGCCAAGCCCTCTTTGTACTCTTCACTTCAACCTTGCCAAACTTCTTGCTGTCCTTAGCATTTGTACCATGCCTCTTTGTCATTGCTTATGCTGCTTTGGTGCCCAGAATATACTTTTTATCTTTGATCCATCTCTCAGGATGAGACCTACTCGTCTTTCAGTTCTCAATGCCTGGGCCATCTTTTTTATAAAAACTTTCCTTGGCTTCTTTCCCAATTCTTCACACTCATGTAATCCTACCCTTCTTTCTATCTCCGTACTGTGTACCTCTGTTATTTTAGGGTCTAACAGCAAGTTTTTCATCTGTCATTTATATTATATAAATGTAAAAATGAATATATATGTGTATGTCTATGTATATATGTTTTTGTGTGTATATATAGACATGCTACATGTGTGTATGTATGTGTGTGTGTGTATATATATGCATATATGCACACCACGTCACAGATGGTTTACAATATAGGGACTTCATTTTACAGTTCCTCACCAATGTCTTAACATTAACTGGTGTTCACATAGTTTAAATAATCATTATTTGTCTTTTAAGGTATATTCATTTATTTGTTTTGGTTAGGAATTTCAATAATTTTTCTGTATGTGTATTTGAATCAGTTCTGTATAAGCTTGCTTTTCTTAATATAATATTCCCAAAAAGTAGGTTTCCCCAGAAGAGAATTTATGCAAATTGTTCATTTTCTGTTGGTTCAGTATCTCACAGGAAAGCACACAGGATTCAGGTTGTCACACACTGCTAAAGAACAGTGATCACAATCTATTATTCTCAACAGACCCCAATGGGAATTTCTCTAAAACACTTTTCTTTGACTTTTCGTGTATTTTACTACATATAAACATTATTCTTTCCTTGCCCAGTGATTTTTGTGTAAAAGTTCTCAATATATTAAATGAATACTTTCTTTAACACATAACATGGAGATTATTTGCAGGTAAGAATATATATTTAAAACCATTTTCATTTAAATGTCAAGGGAAAATACTAAAATTAGTTTCTACCATTTTATAGTATTTTTGCAGAATGTCATCAAATGAGGACAAATGCTCAGTTCCAGTTATACAAAATGACTCCGATCCAGGCAGTTCTGTCTCTGCAGATCTTCAGGTAGGAAGACATGTTATGACTTTTTTAATTTTAAACAAGTGATAATTTATGGGAAAACCAGGCATAAATTCTTCATTCATTTCATTTACAATCGAGTGTTTCAGATGACAAAAATATAAACTTTGGGAATTACTTTAAGATTTTTGGGAGTTACTTCACATTGTTTTAACTTTTCAGAAAAATAGTCATGAACTCTTCAAACATTTTTTTGTACAAAGAATTCAACTAACAGAAAAGAAAAAAAATGTTTCCTGATATTTTTTCATACACTACTTGTGTTTTTTTTTTAAATACCTTTATTTAATTTATTTATTTGTTTTTATGTTGTGCTGGGGATTGAACCCAGTGCCTCACACATGATAGACAAGCACTCTACCACTGGGCCACAACCCCGGCCCTACTACCTGTTTTGAAACTTTTACTTTTAATGCAAGTTGAGACAGTATGTAAGCCATCCAAAGTTCTGGAGCCTGAGATTCCCTTGTGTTCTACTTGTTCAGGTTCTATTCCTTGTTGCCACAACATTCAGCACAGTCTTTTGCACAGGCCCTGGACATTGACAGATAAGTTGACTACAGAAGGGGTAGTGTTTACATGAAATACTTTTTATTTCTTTTATTTCTGTTTCATCATCAAAAACACAGACTCAGATTTCTGTTATATTTTAAATGAGAGAATACCGACCTGGTTTTATAGTTAACATCACTTAAAAGTGGAAAAACTGCACATTGTGTTTGTATGTAAGTTCATTGATTGTGTATAATATGAGATAAATTTCAGAAAAATATTTTATTGAACAAATGGGTTTTTTAGTATATGAAATTATAGATATAGAAATTGGGAGGTACTGAAAAATATCTGAACATTTACTAGGATGAATTGGTCTATAATTGTGACATAAATATGTCATCTTGGCCTTCCCTTTTGGTGGTATCTTTCCCGTGTAGTGCTGTCTTTTGAGGTGACAATGCATTTTTGCACCTTTCATCTTTACTTCATCCAAACTTCCTTCAGTTAAGAACTTAGTAATTCATTTATAGTAAAATACAAATATCCTATAAAGTCTTAAATTGTCATTTTTGTCTAGAGTCAAAGTTTTAAATTAAAGAATAAATATTGGGGTTGGGAATGTCACTCAGTGATAGAGCACTTTTACCTAGCACAGCAAGGCCCTGGTGGTTTTATCCCCAGATTATAGTTGGTCATTCAATCTGTAAATAAATCTCTAGAATGGAATTTGAGAAAGATAAAGGGAAGAGCCTCCTAGACCTACCAGAAATTATTTTGTATAGTTGGTTACCTGCTTATAATGTCAGTCCAACTGAGAGTATGTTTATTAGTAACCCTCAGCTTTTGATCCTACTGGTTGTTGGAATAAACTTGAAAGCCTGAACATATTTCCTATGAATTCAGTGTTGTTATTTTGGATTCTAGTTCTAGAAAAACTTTAAAATATAAATATAAAAAAACCTTTAAAATATCACAAAATAAATACATACTTTTACATACATAGTAAATATGTAAAATCAAATATTTAATACAAAAATTCCTCATAAACTACTATTCCTCTTAAGGGGTTTTTGGTTACTGTCTATATTATGTGATGGCTTCATAAACCAGAAGATGGTAAATGCTGAGGCAATATCTGTGGTGCTTATTATATGCTGATAATTTCTCATAAGCACAACTCTGATCTGTGAGCAAGTTTCCCTAACTCAGATGGTTAAAGTATGGTTTGAACTGTATTTCAAGGTCATATCAGTGCAACCACTGGGGTTTGGGGATCCTCCAAAATTAAAAGCTCTAGTTCTTACTCTAGGATTGTTATTTACCTTAAGACAGATTATCTTTGACAATTTAGAAAAACAATGTTATTTATTCTAATCCTTAACTGAAAATACCCCACTTGTTGCACATCTACATATATGAAACTCAAAAATAGTTCTTTAAATAATTTATTTTTCAAATCTTTCTTCAAAATAAGTTAGAATTCATATGATCATTGAATATTATTGTTATATACCTATTTACCTCCCCTTTGAGTCTTAGTGATTATTGTGAGAACTTTCAAATATTATGTTTGGATTTCTTTTTCTTTTCCTTTCTTTTCTTTCTTTCTTTTTTTTTTTTAACTTCTCTGTTCTAGGATAGAGGTCAGGCTAAAAGCCACAAATGAAAGCCACTGACTTCTACTTTCCCCTCCCTGCCTACTGTCTGTGAAATAATATTCAGTTAACTGAGCAGAGCTGATTTGGCTAATTGCCACCAGAGGGAAGAGACCCTAAATTTTTTTTTGTAGTTGCAGCTGGACAGCATGCCATTATTCTATTTGTTTTCTTTTCTTCATATATATAGGATCAAACCCAGTGTTCACACAAGCTAGACAAACACTCTGCCACTGAGCAGCCTCATCCCCTAAGAGCATTCTTATTAGTCAGCTTGGACCTCCATTAAAAATACAGTAGAGGGAGCTGAGGTTATGGCTCAGCGGTAAAGCACATGCGAGGTGCTGGGTTCTATCCTCAGCTCCACATAACAGTAAATAAATAAAATGAAGGTATTGTGTTCACCTACAACTAAAAAAAATATTAGAAACAATTTAATAGAGGGCTGGGGATATGGCTTAGTGGTAGACACCACTTGCTTGGCATATGTGAGGCCCTGGGTTTAATCCCTTGCCTGCAAAAAAAAAAAAAAAGGTAGGTAGGTAGATAGATCTGGGGACTTAAACAACAGAAATGTATTTCTCCAGAGTTCTGGAGATAAAAGTGCCAGCTCAAGGTCCAGCCAGGTCAGTTTCTGGTGAGATCTCTCTTCTGGCTATCTTCTCACTCTGTCCTCACATGAACTTTCTTTGGTGCAGTAAGTGAACATGAGGGAGAGAACACGAGCTCTTTAATGTTTCTTCTCATAAGGACACTAACCCTATCAGATCAGGGTCCTAGCCTGTGACTTATTTAACCTTAATTTCTTCCTTAGAGTCCTCATCTCCAAATACAGCCCACTTAGTTTTAGAGCTTCAGCATGTGAATTTTGAAGGGACACATTCAGTCTATAACAGCTATACTTGTGTATATTCTTAGCCAAAATTAAAGGCCTGTTTGAGAAGTATAAATTAGGGTTTGTTTTGTTTTTGTTTTTGTTTTTTGGCTGCTTTAACAACTAAATAAGAAATGTCTTGAATATCTTAAAGTTTGTTCCTCTTTCTCTTGTTGCTCTGCCATGCCCTCTAGGGTATTGATTGTGTTTGTATTGTGATTATGTTTGCTGGCTTACTACCACCCCTAGTCCATGGGAAGAGAGGAACAGAAAACAATCAGTTTCCTTTTTAAGGAATTCACCTACATCTGTACACATCATTTCCATTCAAATCCCAAGAGACCAGTCTTTTCACCAAACCTAGCAGCAAGGGAGGCTAGGAAATGTAGCTGGGTGGCCGTTTGCCCAGGTCAAACCCTGGAACTTTATTAACTTAAAAGGAATAAAGGGGAAATGGACCACTAGCAGTTTCCACCATAGAGAGTATATACACTTGAGTCCTTTATTTTTGTATTATTACTTTATTATATAAACTAATAAATATACATTACTTTATTATATAAACAATAAATATACATATATATACACAGGAACCAACAAATACCTGTGTATAACCCTAACTTATCAATCTCTTTGGGAACTTTATTTTAATAAGTAGAAAACATATGGCTCAAGAAGTATATTTTTTAAATTTAAGGGTATTTAAATCTACTTAAAGAATGGTAATTACTTTTGTCAACATAAAAATTAGAGTTGTGCTGGGGGCTTATCCCTCCAACGTCTACTGTGGGGAGCTTGAGGGTATGGAGAAATCCCTCCGGAGACTATTTCAGATAACAGCGTCTGCTTCATTGCACAGCAAAAATAACTTCTATAGCAGGTATATGTGCCAATTTACATATAACAGTCATGATAGGCCAGGGGTAATACATACATATCATCTTATGGAAGCCAAAACACCCAAGAGGCCAGAAACTACTACATAGTCCAACCCCACACCAGCAGGGGAATAACTTATCAAATGAGCAAGGAAATTGTGCTTGCCAGTGTTCTGACAGCACTTTGTCCCAAAACATAGTGTTCTATGTTAGGACTTCCCTGCTGCACAATGAGCAAGATAAGCATTCCTCCATGAGGGTCCATGGTTAGGCCTGCAGCAGAGTTGTATGTTGATATTCTAAATGATTTTTTTCGTGTTAAGAGCCTTCTGCTTTAGTGCTAACCGTAAACTAAATACTGACTTTTATTTTCTATCAGAAAATGTCAATTTAAAACTCAGAAAAGTCTTTTTATTGTGATAAAGGGACATCACTAACAAAAAGGTGATTATAGTCACATGTGATGGCCTATATTTGTGATCCTAGCAACTCAGGAAGCTAACTCAGAAGGATTGCAAGTTAAAGGCCAGCCCAGCCAACTTATAAGACCCTTTCTATAAAAAATAAAAAAGGGTTGTGGGTGTAGCTCAATGGTAGAGTTCCCCTGGGTTTAATCCTCAGTACAGGAAGGAAAAAAAGAAGTTGATTATAGCAATGTAAAGGGAATTCTGGTGATTAGATTTTCCTAAAGGTTCTCTTTAGAATGTCTCTGTTTCTCTTCTGCTGTTAAACTTACCATACACTGTAAAAAAAAAAAAAAATCTGTATTTGTTATATCTAATATTTACTGAATATAAATGTTTATGTTAAATATGTAATATAGTTTAACACTCAAACCAACTCACTCTTTTATATTATTGCCACAAAGACTAACAGTTTTCAAACATAGACCAGCATAAACCCTTTTTTTCAAACAATTTTACTTAAAGTTCAATATGAAAACAGAACTACAATCATAGATTTATTTTATAAACTCAAATTTGTGACATTACTTTTCAAAATCAGTGAAACCAATTTAGCTGCTTGACAAATGTACATTTAAAATTAGAGGGAGATAAAAGGCCAGTGTAATTTTATAAGCCTAAGTATCCAATTTGCTTCTTTTATTTTAGATACATAATATCAACACAGAAGTTTCTGATTCTCATTATAAGGCAGTAAAAATGGTAGTTTTTTATTAGCATGCCTCATCTTCAGTTAAATTCATCTAAAGCATAAGAAAGAAATGGTAGATAAATTTTAATTGTATTGAATCACTAACAGAATCTGTCACCTTTTCAAACTTCTAAGATTACATTTTTAATCATAAATTTAAAAATCACACAAGAAGCACTTGAAGGACTCAAGCTTGAAATAAATGCTAAAACTATATTGTGATAAGCTTTAATCTATTATGGTAATTAAATTTCTTAACAAAAAGGTCCAGTCAGGTTGAATGTTTTATGCAGTATAGCTGTTAAAATACAATATTGATTTTTGGCTTCTCATAGGAAGAATATGAAGAACTACTTCGTTATGCTATAGTGACTCCAAATATGGAATCCGGTACTTCACAGTCACAGCCATCTCATCCGAAGGCAGAAGTGGTGCCAGAAGTTAGAAGTCCTACTCCCATTGATAATATTCTTCATAATCAAGGTTATGTATATTTTTAAAAATATCTCTTAATTTAAGATATTTTCAAGTTTAATAATAATACTGTATTATGATTCTGAAAATGTCTCTTCAGATCAGCAATTCTTCTCATTAATGTGATGTAGGGGATCTTTTTACATTTTACCATGTTATTCCTGGCTGGATTTTTATTTTAACTCTTTTTTTTTTTTTTAAGACTAAGGTTTTTTTGTTTTTTAATTTTTAGTTATAGATGGACACAATATCTTTTTTATTTGTTTGTTTGTTTATTTAATGTGGTGCTGAGAATTGAACCCAGTGCCTCACATGTGCTAGGCAAGTACTCTACCACTGAGCCACAACTACAGCCCAAGACTAAGTTTTTATGTATACCACTTTACTTTAAAAGTTTTGGTCCTTGTGCATGCAAAGCAAGCATTCTACCAACTAAGCTATATCCCCAGCCCAACTTCATTTAACTCTTCCTTTTTTAAAAAGTGATACAGTTAAAGCAATGCTATAGCAATTGTATGTCTCTTAATGTTGCATCTGAGTTCTTATTCCACAGTTTTATGGCTGGATTAAAACTAAATGCCCTAGCCAGGCGTGGTGGCACACGCCTATAATCCCAGTGGCTTGGGAGGCTGAGACAAGAGGATCGAGAGTTCAGAGCCAGTCTCAGCAATGGTGAGGCACTAAGCAATTCAGTGAGACCCTGTCTCTAAATATAATATAAAATAAGGCTGGGGATGTGGCTCAGTAGTTGAGTGCCCCTGAGTTCAATTCTCAGTACCAAAAAAAAAACAAACCCAAAAAAACAAAAACTAAATGCCCTAGCCCTATATTAAAGGTTGTCCCTAGGTAGTCCTAGAATCTCTCAAGTTACTTTACAAAACACATATCAGTACTGTTTCAGCAGTATTTGGGCATAGAGGATTGTTTGTGGGAGAACATTAGTAAAAGATGAACCCATAAATGAGACTGTGTCAACAACAGAATTAATAGCTGATAAAAATGAGTGAAAGGAGGGCTGGGGTTGTGACTCGGTGGTAGAGCGCTTGCCTAGCATGTGTGAGGCACTGGGTTTGATTCTTAGCACTGCATATCAATAAATAAAGTAAAGGTCCGTCGACAACTAAAAGAAAACAAATTTTTTTTTTAATTGAATGAAAGGTAGAGAAAGGAGGACCTATCCATTCTTTATTCAGTAAAGTACAAATCCCAAACAGCTAACTATAAATAAGTGTTCTTTCAAAGGACACAGAATGCCTTCCTCAGACAGTCCTGATAATGGACAGATAGCATTTTGTAGGTTTATACTTATGTAGGCATAAGGATCCCTGTTCTTGAAGGCACATGACATAACAACTCAAGAGTCACACAGCTCCTGGATTTTCAGTAAGTCACAGCTCTAGTTTCTGCTCCTTACCCTCTGTACACAATTTTTTTTTTTTTTTTTTTGGTACTGGGGATTGAACGCAAGGGCACTCAACCACTGAGCCACATCTCTATCCCTATTTTGTATTTTATTTAGGGACAGGATTTCACTGAGTTGCTTAGCACCTCGCAATTGCTGAGGCTGGCTTTGAACTAGTAATCTTTCTGTCTCAGCCTCCCAAGCTGTTGGGATTATAGGCATGTGCCACTGTGGCCGGCTTGTTCACAACAATTTTTCGTTGCCCCTCAGTCTTCAGTCTGTGTTGGAATGACAAATAGGACTACAGGCCTAGAACCTTAAAAAATTTTTTTTTTAATTCTGACAAAATTTTCTGCTTACATTTTATTACCTTCAAAAGATAGAAACCTTGGATTTTTTCATTCTGCATCAGTGGTCTAGATCATGTTGGTTTTTTGGGGTTTTTTTTTTTTTTAGATCATATTTTGATTACACTAAGTACTTCAACATGCAGTTCCTACTGAGCAAACCCAAAACACTACATACTCTCTTATACATTTAAATAGGAAAATTGATACTGTAGCTCTATATGCCTCTACCCTTATGGTGATTACCAAAAGGTCGTCTCCTCTTATGTTGCCAGCAATACTCCTGGTGTTACTAGTAACACAACTCCTTTCCTTGCCCTAGTTCGCCAACATTTCAAGGTAATCATCTGGCATTTAAGATCATTGCTCTTTTCTTCCATGTAAGATAGTACTTATTTGTTTACGTTCTGTCTTTTCCAAAAAGAATTTAAGATTAAAATATACAATATATAGTAAGTATAAATATCCTGATTCAGATGCAGGCTTTGTTAGAATGGACTTTGTAAACTTATCATCACGTGTTCTCTGTTCTTGGTATTGCAGTCACCTGGTGTTCTCTGTTCTTGGTATTATAGTCACCTGGTGTAAGTAGGATGTGTTCAAGTTGGGAAAGTATATATAAGCCTCTAATGCCAGTCTTGTGAGGGTTCCCTATTTTGCTTTGCTATGTATTGACTAAAAGTTCTGAAACTGAAGCAGGGAAATCCATGTTTGGGGAGAGCTAATGCTTTGGTTTGATTGCAGCTAATGGAAACAGGCACAGAAAATACCCAGTGTCATTAGAAGATAACAAATCCATTTCTAATAGAATGAGTTGAATGCTGTAATAGACTGAATTCTTTCATCTATATTTCATTGATTGAGTTTATCAATGATACAATAAGGCTTTTCTATTTTTTTCTTTCTTGTTCTTTTAGTGTTCCTGTATCACCAGCATATATTGTAGTTTCTTTGTTTTAAAATCTTACTTACATACTACTGCCTTCTTTAATTAGGTATATATGATTAAGCATTCAAGAGTGGTTCCATTTAATAAAAATAAAACTTTCTTTTTAGCAGGAAGCAGCTCTGCAGTAAGAGAAACTGCAATGGAAGTTGGAAAAGGATCTGATTTAAATATTTCCAGTCATTCAAAGATAGATGGTATGACCTTTCCTTAGCTTGTTTTTATTAATATGCAAGATTTTGTGGTTTGATAAACATTATCAATATAATAAGGGAAATAATATCAGCATATTACTTGCAGGATTTTTTAAGTGCTAATGTTACCAATTGATTTTAAATGATAATATTTACAATAACGTAGTAAATTTCAAAATAGTACAATTAAGACCGGTTAATGCATCGTAGTATTCAGTATTCTGTTTTAAAACTGCTAAGTTAGAAAATTAGTAGTTTTAAAGATTTTTTTTTTTAATCTTATTTTTTTTTTTTTTGGTGGGGTTCTTTTTTTTTTTGTCTTTTTTGGAACTGGGGGTCGAACCCAGGGCTTCGCGAATGCAAGGCAGACGCTTTGCCACTGAGCTACATCCCAACCCCAAGATTTTTTTATATATATTTTTTAGTTGTCAATGGATCTTTTGTTTTATTTACTTATATAAAATGTGGTGCTGAGGATCAAACCCAGGGCCTCACACATGCCAGACAAGCGCTCTATCACTGAGCCACAACTCCAGCTCCAGTTTTAAAGATTTAATGGGATGTTAGACAGCTTGACTAACTTAAATCTTTTGTAAACTATAGTGCACTATTTCCCAACTTTCAGGCATATGTGTATCAATGTAATGGCTTCTGTCATATCTTTATACCATCTGTTCTCTAATTTATTGTTTTTTTAAATATATGTTCACTTTTTAGCTTAAATTCATTTCATTTTAAAAAGAAACTTTGTTTCAGTTATTTTTGAATATAAGATTAATATGCATTTGTTAAAATATGAATGTAATGGTAAAAATAAATATATTGAAAACAAAGTATTAAGTTTTATTACAACATTGTTGGGTGGTGATGTGTTGGGCCTAAAATCAGCATTTTTCTTTTTTGAAAGGAGAGATTAGCAATGTTAATGGTCTCTAGGCAAAACAAAGTATTGCAGAATGGCAAGGTTTTTGATATTTAAAATTAAATGGAGTGGGCTGGGGCTAGGGCTCAGCAATAAGCACACTTGCCTGGCATATATGAGGCACTGGGTTCGATTCTCAGCAACACATATAAATAAGTAAAATAAAGGTCTATCAACAATTAAAAAAAATTTTTAATAAAATAAAATAGAGAAAATGACAGTTTTTCTGAAACATGAGGCTAGAGAAAACTAAGGTTTTAAAAGCATATTAGAATCAGATTGAGAATAATTTTTAAAATAAAAATGGAATACTTTCCTTATTATGTGATTCAATGTTACTCTATGTGGAAACCATTTAAGCCACCATTTTAAAAATGTCTCTACCCTTTATTTTCCTTACTTGTAATAAGTCTTTGGCAGTATAATCTTGGACAGGCCTTCCAAGTTCTTAAGTTACATGATTCTGTTTCTTAGAAGGTATGTATATTTTTTCAACAATTAAAAATCTACAGAACTTCAGCAAGTTCTAGAGTAGGTTTGTCTGTTTGTTGTTGTTGTAGATGGACACAATATCTTTAATTTTATTTCTTTATTTTTATGTAGTGCTGAGAATCAAACCCAGTGCTTCACACGTACTAGGCAAGCGCTCTACTACTGAGCCACAACCCCAGCCCTAGGAGGTTTGTCTTCTATTCATTCAGTAAGGAAGAGAGCAAAGTCCTTCAATCCTGGTTATTAGAACTCACAACAAATGTGAGCTACATGAAAAATGGTGATAGTCTCTAATTCCAAACATAAATGTGTGACAAAAAATTAAACTTTCTATTTTGTGCTTTTTTTTGTTCCACATTTTTTATTGATACATTATACTTGCACATAATGATGGAATTTGTTATTATATGTTCATACATTGGCCAGTGTCAGTCAGCCGTGTTCTTACCATAGAAGAAATGTCTGCATTAAATTTGTGTATTTTGACCCATATAGTCTACTTGCATTTATATTCTTTTTTAAAATTTTTTATTTACTCTAATTTTTTATACACAATGACAGAATGTAGTTCATTTCATATTACACATATAGAGCACAATTTTTCAAGTCACTGATTGTATACGAAGTAGAGTCACACCATTCATGTCTTTATACATGTACTTAGGGTATTGATATCTAACTCATTCCACCATCTTTCCTACCCCCATGCCCCCTCCTTCCCCTTCCTCCCCTTTGCCCTATCTAAAGTTCCTCCATTCCTCCCATGCTCCCCTGGCCCATCCCCACTATGGATCAGCATCCACATATCAGAGAAAATATTTGGCCTTTGGTTTTTTGGGATTGACTTACTTCATTTAGCATGATATTCTCCAACTCAATCCATTTACCTGTAAATGCCATGATTTTATTCTCTTTTAATGCTGAGTAACATTCCATTGTGTATGTATACCAGAGTTTCCCTATCCATTCATCTACTGAAGGGCATCTGGGTTGATTCCACAATTTAGCTATTATGAATCATGCTGCTATAAACATTGATATGGATGTGTCCCTATAGTATGCTGTTTTTTAAGTCCTTTGGGTATAAACCAAGGAGTGGGATAGCTGGGTCAAATGGTGATTCCATTCCAAGTTTTCCAATGAGTCTCCTACTGCTTTCCATATTGTTTGCACCAATTTACAGTCCCACCAGCAATGTATGAGTGTGCCTTTTTCCTCACATCCTTGCCAACACTTATTGTTGTTTGTATTCTTGATAGCTGCCATTCTGACTGGAGTGAAGTGAAATCTTAGAGTAGTTTTGATTTGCATTTCTCTAATTGCTAGAGATGTTGAACATTTTTTCATACATTTGTTGATTGATTGTATATCTTCTTCTGAGAAGTGTCTGTTCAGTTCCTTGGCCCATTTATTGATTTTTTTTTTTTTTTTTTTTTTTTTTTTTTTTTTTTTTT